GCTGCTTAATCTTTTGTAGAACTGATAACTGAAGATGACGCGAAGCAAACCGTAAAAGACCCTCTGATTGAGGATTATGTCTGATGGAGAAGAAACCATATGTTACTCTTCCAGGAACTCCATCATGGAGAGAAAGACTATCATGGAGCCGTGTGTGTGTGTCTGTGTAGCCACTATTAGGCAGTGGAGGTGATTTTAATGGAAATGTGAAGCACTAAGTGCTGAGGATGGTGAGTACTCTCTGTGAGAGATGAGCTCTCTCTCATGTGGACCCTGTTATTGTGAGAAGGCAACAAAAGCGCTGCATTAGTCACCGCGCCGGACCGACGTACAGTGCTTTGATGTGAGCTCAGTAACCAAGGCAAAGCGGTGGCCAATGCGTGAGCTCTGTTCCAATGGGTGTGTTGTGCAATCAGATGTGTTTACTGTTTATACAGGGAGAGAAGTGGCATAATCCACCCCAAGTACAGTGTAGTTAGGGAGAAAATCAGTCTGGAACAACTCCAGTCTGAGATGGGATTGTTTCTATATATTACAATTCATAAAAAATGGATTTGAGGATATATAAAATAGAACATACCAAAACAGGAAACCTGAGAAGTTGCACAGTAGACTGGAGTCTCAAAGTTACACGTATCAAACTTTCCTTTGGCTCGGTTCCGAAAATGTATTCTTCATAATAACAAATATTCTGGTCATTGAGACAAAGGATTGTACAGTGAATTGACATTTGAAATAAAATAATTATATACATCTTGAATATAAAAAGGATCCCTGCACAGTCTCATTGAAGATCTTGATCACTTTTCTAGCCTCTCTGGATTAAAACCTAATTATGACAAGTGTACCATATTACGTATTGGATCGTTAAAAAACACAGTGTTTACACTACCTTGTAGTTTACCAATAAAATGGGCAGATGGTGAAGTAGACATACAGTGCCTTGCAAAAGTATTCATCCCCCTTGGCGTGTTTCATATTGCATTACAACCTGGATTTCATGTAATGGACATACACAAAATAGTCCAAATTGGTGAAGTGAAATGAAAAAAATAACTTGTTTCAAAAAAATTGAAAAAATAAATTACGGAAAAGTAGTGCGTGCATATGTATTCACCCCCTTTGCTATGAAGCCCCTAAATAAGATCTGGTGCAACCAATTACCTTCAGAAGTCACATAATTAGTTAAATAAAGTGAATAGTTATGCACGCTCAAGTTTTCAGTTTTTTTGTCTTATTTCTTTGCATCTTCAAAGTGGTAGGCATGTGGTTGTAAATCAAATTATACAAACCCCCATAAAATCCATTTTAATTCCAGGTTGTAAGGCAACAAAATAGGAAAAATGCCAAGAGGGGTGAATACTTTTGCAAGCCACTGTACTTGGTATTCACATCTCAAAAAATATAAATATTACCATAATCAATTTCAATAGAAAGTTTGCAAAAATAGATAAGATTCTGCAAGCATGGATAGGTACATTTGTCTATTATGGAAAAATCACATTGGTTAACTCTTTGGTCCTATCACAGTTTACTTACTTACTAATGGCGCTGCCTACTCCAGACGACTCGTTTTTTAAATCATATGAGCAAAAAATATTTCATTTCATTTGGAATGCTAAGCCAGACAAAATTAAACGTGCCTATTCATATAATGAATATGAGTTTGGGGGTCTAAAATGATTAAATATTAACGCTTTAAACCTCTCACAAAAATCTTCACTCATACATACAGTAAGTTATACTTAAACCCAAAATGGTTCTCCAATAGATTATTAAGAAAGGCTCATCCTTTGTTCAAAAATGGCATTTTTGCCTTTATACAGACTGCAACTTCTAATTTACGACTAATTGAAAATGAAATGTTGTTTAAAGTACCACCCTTTCTTAAACAAGCCATACATAGCTGGTTACAATTTCAGTTTTATCCTCCAGAAAAGATAGAACAAATATTACAACAAATGTTATGGTTAAACTCAAATATACTGATTAATAAAAAATTTGTTATTTATGGAAGAATTTTTTTAAAAATGGTATTATATTTATTAATGATCTTATGAATATAAATGGTGGAATGATGTCGTATATGCAGCTATCTTTGAGTTTTTCAATTAAAATTATTATACAAAATTCTTGCCACCAACAGAATGCTATATATACAGTTGAAGTCGGAAGTTTATATACACCTTCGCCAAATACATTTAAATTCATTTTTTCACAATTCCTGACATTTAATCCTAGTAAAAAAATCCCTGTTTTAGGTCATTTAGGATCACCACTTTATTTTAAGAATGTGAAATGTCAGAATAATAGTAGAGAGAATGATTTATTTCAGCTTTTATTTCTTTCATCACATTCCCAGTGGCTCAGAAGTTTACATACACTCAATTAGTATTTGGTAGCATTGCCTTTAAATTGTTTAACTTGGGTCAAACGTTTCGGGTAGCCTTCCACAAGCTTCCCACAATAAGTTGGGTGAATTTTGGCCCATTCCTCCTGACAGAGCTGGTGTAACTGAGTCAGGTTTGTAGGCCTCCTTGCTCGCACACGCTTTTTCAGTTCTGCCCACAAATGTTCTATAGGATTGAGGTCAGGGCTTTGTGATGGTCACTCCAATACCTTGACGTAGTCTGGCTTTTTTATGGCAGTTTTGGAGCAGTGGCTTCTTCCTTGCTGAGCGGCCTTTCAGTTTTTTTTTTACCCATTTGCCCTTATATGAAATTAAAATGTACATGAGTCAAAGCATTGCTGCAGTTCAGTTGAACGCCTCGATCAGACCGAAGGCGCCAATGCGTTTTGGTACACCAGAAGTACATTCATTTCCAATGGAACGCTGTGTTTGCCTTGCAGCATTGCGTTGCAGAGGCAATTGCAGTGTGTTCCGTGTGGTGCATATGTTGGATAAATCCAGCGTAAGCATCAAATTGTATGCGTAGACTTGACAGAAATAGTAGCAAAAGGTGAATGTTTAACTTTTGTTGCACACACATCCAGTACAAATGTTGGATTACATCATGAAAAAAGTTTGACTGCAGACTTTTTTACGCAGCATTGATGCAATGAGGCTGTCGGTCTGATCAAGGCATTACTACTCAAATCCATAAAAGCAAAACAGCAGAGGTTTGAGTTAAACAAAACTCTCTTTTTATAAAATGCATGAATGGATGCAAGCTGGGCCGGGGTGGGCGGACGGCGTCTCTGGCTCTGTGATTGACAGCTCCATGTGCTGCCCTCCTAGCCGGTGCAGTGCACAGCCCCTGTCAGGGGGGTGGCAGACACACAAGCGGGAGAGTAGCTGACTGCACCCCCGCAGCAGGGGGCACGGGAGAGGGGGGTAAGGGGTCGCAGATTCTGCTGGCACTGGAGCATTGTCATCGTAGCAGACTGGGCTGTGCCATTTTCAGAAGGAGCCCGGGCCTTTCATCTAGCATGTCCACGGGGCTTACCTTCTCCTCCGTGGTGGGCTCTGGACGCTGGGCGCTCTCAGCTCGCTGTACTGCACCTGTAAAAACAAACAGGAGTTTGGTCGGAGGCAGGTAATCTGAGCTCAGTGGAGCGCACGGTAATGGCTCCCCCGAGGAGAGCTGGTGCAGAGGAAAGCGAGGCGGGTTCGCCTGTAATGAATCATTTTTTAAACACAGGAGCAGAGGGGATTAATCACAGGGAGGAAGGATTTGAGAAGTCAAGGGTTCCGTACCAGCGTACGCCCCCCTCCTCTGCCACAATCGCAATATTAGAAGCAGACATCAACTGTTGAGTAACCTGCATAATCGCTCGTGCAAGTTCTGTCCTTTCTGAGAAAACTTTATACGAAGCCAAGAATTGCCTCAGCCAGGGGTTTCTTGACTAAAGTAGGAACTAGCATCGATGGGATGTCGACCTTTACATGCTTCAGTGGGAACTCAAAGATGACTGATTTCTGAAAAAAGAGACCTGCCACTTTGACATTTGAACTTAAACCTCTTTTTCCTTTCAGTTACAGTATGTTTGCACTGCAGAATTATGAGGCTCAACATCAAAGATTGTCTCAAGTTTCAATGTTTTGCAAATCATTCTTTTACATAGATTCCAATATGTCCAAACATATTTGTAACAAGAATTAAGGCGGAAAATCTAGAATTAAACTTCCAAATTGGAACTTACTATGGCCAATGGTTTAAATAACGTAAGTATCTAAAATATCTTGTATCATTGTGTAATTTTTGTTATGTGTCTAGTGAAAATAACATGCCAAAACATTTTTTTTTTAAAAACAACAATGCAAAACAGATTAGTTTTAGAAACTCAACAAGATGAAGTTTGAAGCAAATTTGCTTTCAAAAGCATGTTTGTTTTTGATACAACAATAACATGGTTCTGTTGAATCAAGGTAGAGACTCCATACTAATTACCAAACCCTGATTATTAGAATGGTAGATGGAATGAATGAGGGAACAAAGTGACTGCCGTCTGCAACAGAACATGAAACTGTTCTCAGAACTGACAGATGCTTCTTATTTCAGGACAGACACACTCCTGTCAGAAGTCTCGGCTTTGTAGATTTGCACAGGCACTAATTGCCAAGTAATTTTGCTGTGAGAAAGGAGTCCATTTCCAGCCTTTTTAATATGGCTCGACTGTGTCCATACCTAGGCCTATCTAAGGGTTGGAGTTCTAAGGTAACAACAGCAATCTGTGGACTATTGTTATGGTTCTTGTGTTTGTGTTATTCAGCAATATTATTATTCACAGAAGTGTATGTAGTGGTGAGTCATTATGAATGTTCTGTTTTGTAGCCATCATCCAGGACATAGCTGATCCGTAAACTAAAAAGTATTGTCTCCATGGTCATTTTCAAAACGTGAACAAATGTGTCACATATAAAAGATGTGAGACATATAAAAGATGGTGAAACTAAATGTATTCATCATGTTGTTTTGCCAACTTGCTCAGCCGAAAAATCACATAGGCTTCTCTCCAACAACATCACTGAACATTTGGCAATAACTCTCAGAGGGACATCAAGGGGGCAGCAGAGAAAGAGACTGGGGTTCAGAGAGTCTTTCCAGATCCAGACAGTCACGTATCCTGGCTGAATACTGTCTGTGAAGTACCTGGGAGAGGAAGGAGCTGTGTTGCACTATTTCCTGCCCACGGTCAGAGAACAGAACAGAGAGTGAACAGGATGAACACCCAGCTCCACTTAAAGTACAGCACCCTGCCCTGGCAGCTATTTGCTATCAGCCCTGTGATGTAACAGCAAATGACATATCAGCCATGGCTAATATATGATCACATATGGCACCCAGCAGGACGGCCGGGGCTCACAACTACATTCATTGACTCCCCCACCCTGATGTGACAGGGGCCACGTCAGAGTGTCTCAGCTGACTCAGAGCTGGGCACCCCAGCCACACACAACTACAGCCATTGGGGGCCCTCCACCGGCCCCTGGCCAATCATAGTCCCGGACACCACAGCGCTTTTATCACAGAGAGACAAAACTGCTAATCAGGGACTAGGCTGGAGCGATATGGCAGAGGACAGATCAGAGTAGAACCCATCCAGGCACTGGGGCGACTGCATCAAACTACTGCCAGAAATAATTGGGCCAGGGGTGTTTTAAAGGCATGAGTCCATTAATAATCAAACAAAGCCAGAGGATATTTCCCCAACACTTGGGAATTCTGTTAGAGCAAATAATGCATATATCTTTAGAGAATTCCCTCCCTCTGTCTGTATGGAAAATTGGACCCTTACCTTTTGAACATCAGAAGGCACCCTCTTGATGAAATCCAGTATTTCATTATTGTCAATGGCATACGGATTGCGCAGCTTCTTGGTAAATTTGTTAACGCCTGTGAAAACAAGGACACATTAATAAATAAAGATGTCATCCAGACCTGCATATTTTTAGAAGGACAAAAAAATATTGCAACCCCATCCCTAGCTCTTTCACCGCCATAGCCGCTGGAAGTAGCATTTTTTTGCCAATTTTTAAATTTTGTTTTCCAGTTTCTTGAAATACTTTGTAAATGCAACTTACACTGTATTTCTATGTGAAAACTGAAATGGTCTTTTCATTCCTTTTCTATTTTAGTAGACGCTCATCCAGAGCAACTTACAGTAGTGATGCATACATTTTCATACTTTTTAGTCCTGTGGTAATCGAACCCACAACCCTAGCATTGCAAGCTCCATGCTCTGCCGACTGAGCCACATCATCACAAACCACTTGATGTGTCAATGTACTCAATTACTGTATTGTGCATTGTTTTTCTTCATGGTGATGGAAAGTCTACAGGTACAAACCTAGATGACCAGCCTATGTACAATACACTAATGTATATTTACATTTAAGTGGTTCGTAAGGATAGTAAATTGATACTGCACAAAAAGTGGTTGTTTTCCATGTTATTGGATCAAGACAAATATTTAATTTGATAGGGATGTTTTGTGTCTTTGCCGATAATTTTGCACCTTTTGATGTAAATGTTTGAGGACAGGGTTTTGTTATTTCTGGATTCCATTAGAATGACAATCACAGAGAAAATGACAGGGCAACAACTCTTACAATTCCAATTATTGAATCTTGCAAGATACTGTTCTTAATTATGCAACTACCTTTTTTTGCCAAAGCAGAGATGCTGAAAAATACTAGTAGAGGCCCAGTGAAGAAAAAAATAAATACAAATTATATACTTTAACTTATTTTAGTATAATTGTTTTATTCTCTTCTGATCTTTCAGGGGGTGCTGCAGCACCCTCAGTACCCCTACTTCCCGTGGCTATGTTCACTGCTGTGTGAAATTGCACCTTGTGATGCTATTTGAATTGATCCCTAGGAACTAAATTGAATCAGTACATCAATAAGGTGGTGGGGTTGTATGGACAGTGCAATGGATATGTATCATCATAAATATACACTACCGTTCAAAAGTTTGGGGTCACTTAGAAATGTCCTTGTTTTCGAAAGAAAATCACATTTTTTGTCCATTAAAATAACATCAAATTGATCAGAAATACAGTGTAGACATTGTGCCATTGGAACACAGGACTGATGGTTGCTGATAATGGGCCTCTGTACGCCTATGTAGATATTCCAAAAAAAATCTGCCGTTTCCAGCTACAATAGTCATTTACAACATTAACAATGTCTACACTGTATTTCTGATCAATTTGATGTTATTTTAATGGACAAAAAAAATGCTTTTCTTTCGAAAACAAGGACATTTCTAAGTGACCCCAAACTTTTGAACGGTAGTGTATAAGTTGGCAGCACAACCGTACAGAGGATGCTGTAATGCAGACAGACACACACACATCCATGACAGCTTTTGAACAGAGCCTGATAGTTGACTGCAGAACATACATTTCAGTCTGTGTCCAAAGGCGACTCAGGTCCTCTGAGTACACATTCAGTACAATAGCCCAGAGCAGAGATTACCACCAACCTCCCCTCCCCCCTATCAACACCCCACTCCCAACTACCTTTCCATATCACTCAAACGACAAAAACATTTATGTTTTCATTCAAATAAGTTTATTATTTCTCTCTAATCATGTTCAATACTGTTATTTCTCCCCATTTGGTTGCATTCCACAGTATTTCTAGAAAGAAAACAGACCATAATGGTACCATATATTCACTGCTAGCTACAGCATTTACCACAATGTGTACAGAAAGAACCTAAGGACCTAAATGTGTGCAGACTACATGAAAGGCTTGCCTTGCAACCAGAGATGGGGGTTAACTGTGGAGTCAGGAGAGTGTATCAGTGCTGTTGTTTGATATGATGTTGGTATCGATTGTGTTGGAGGCAGTGTAGAAGTACAGTTAGTTGTGGGCCAACAGCTGGATGAGGAGTGTCTGTTTCCCTCTGACCGCTGAGGCAACTGTCTATCTCTGTAGGACTGGAGCGGATAATGAGGGTTTACACCAGGAGCCTACACTGCCCAAGGACATCCTGTTTTATGTACAGCATGATGCTCTCCCTGCCTCGCCGCTCGGCTTTGTTTTCTCACAGACCCTGGGCCTAGCCTTAGACTGGTCTGCTTACATCTCACACTGAGCAGAGCTCTGAGCACAATGGGCCTCTGGAGCTAGCAGCCTGAGCTCTGGGCATTCAAGAGGTGTGAGTATTGCTGAATGTTCAAATTACTGTTATATAATGGATGTAAGCGCTATTTACTGTAATTGTCTTTTTTCAACAATGTTTTGCCGAAGGGAAACTATTCATTACAAAATACAGTATTTATAATAAAAAATAATGGTGTATATTTGACTTACCCCATATGAAGATAATGTAGCGCAGTGGGATGTAGTATAATGCTGCTGTTGCCACAAAGAGAACCAAGCAGGCCAGGCAGGACAGGAAGGGCACAGACCAGTTCAATGTGCTGTGGATGAAATATTACATCAAATAAAGTCAGAATATCATTATGACTAAGATGTTACAAGATACTGCACAATCAATAATGTAGTTGCTAGCCAAAGCGTTATACACCCACTTCTATAGAGAACATTTAACTCGCCAGTATACTGTAAACATAAAATGTCAAACTTACTTCTTGACTCTTTCCCCTATGCATGCGATTTCATCCAAAATGTTCTGGACAGTGATGACGATCTCTTGGACCATATGGATTTTCTCCATCAGTCCCTTTTTCCCAGATTCCTAAAAGTACACAGGCACTGATGAGGTCTACTGTACTGAATGTCAATTGTTTAAGGAAGCAGACAAAGCCCAGTTCATCTCTGCCGTGCTATCATGAGTAATTCATCTATTGAATGGCCTATAATGTCTCTTCAGACTATGCTTTTGAAAATGAGACAGATTCAACGTTGGAAAGCTGTCATGATTTCGGCTTTTGTCCGCCACAAACAATGGAAGTGCTCTACATCTAAATCACAGATTAACTGGAGGATGAGACGGACATAAAATGGCCATCAGCAATCAGGCAGCATCCCAGATGACCCAGACAGGAAGAGCAGAAATAGGCTTCATGGTTCAACCAATCCACAAGTCTCCATGGGGCGGGTTTAGACTTGTTTTGCCAGTGCTATCCCACCCACCTATATACTCCATGTGTCTCTCTGTCCTCACACCTCTGTGTGTGTGAGGGAGCAGTGGCTCAGCCATCCCAGATCACAGGGTTGTAATCATTGGATGTATTCTCACTCATATAAGACTCTCATATCATGTGAATGGGCTTCGGCTATGTCCACTTTCATCACCAAGGTAGTGTTAATAGTGTTATATTGTTCATTTTGTATTGCTAAATTAATATCATGGTGCAAAAGCCGTGATATGATACAGACATCCTATATAGACCAGATGGACATGGTATGGGAAGGTGTCTCTCAATTTCAATGTGGGGGAACAAAAGAGATATTCTTCAGTTGAAATAGACATGATCAGATGAGTGCTGGTAACGGCAGAGAAGAAGCAGCACTGTGAAGCTTTCCAGAGGGAGAGGAGAGGCTGTAGATGATAACACCAGTAATGTGAGCTAAAGACGGCTGAGAAGACATCAAAATGTATGAAAATGTATGTACTCACTAACTGTAAATCGCTCTGGATAAGAGCGTCTGCTAAATGACTAAAATGTCAAATGTAAAAGGAGGAAATAATGACAGGAATGATGACAGAGAAGAGCGAGGGGGAGGAAGATATCTGATGGAGTCTAACAGGAGGCTTGAGGATGTCTATATGTTTGTGTTAGAAGGCAGTTCCAGCCCCAGTCTGGGCTCAGAGACAGCGTCCAGACAGAATGCCTTTATCAGAGTCTCATGAGGCAGCCCCTGGGAAAACACGCTATCCGCCAGCCCAGCACAGAGAGACTCCCCACTGTCAGTCCCAAGTCTCCTCCACAACAAACACAGGAAGAGAGCAATTCCCACCCCTGTAGAGAGCCTCCCCTACTAGGCCACTGGAAATATCTCAAATATGCTCTCTCTGAGAGATCCGTGAATAGATTATTATCCCAGTGTCATACAATAGAGACGGAGGGATAGTACTGTAGCCTATCATCCTATAGAAGAGACACGGCACTGTCTGCAGCAAGGCATAAAGAAAACCTCCAACCTCAGTCTAATGTGAATGCAGATCCTTTACTTCACATTAGGTGTTAATTGAGCTCTTTCTCCTGAGCTCTCATTGAAAGCAGATTTGTGCCTGCTAAAAGCCATTAAGATCCATGTCTGTGTGCTCCTGATGGACTGAGAGAGCTGCGCACAGGGAAATTAGAACTCACTGGATATGGAGCCTCATCAGTTAGGCTCAGATTCCCTTTCATATCTCCATCTAAACTTGTTTAAGGCCCCCTAAACATGAATTAGGATTCAAACCTGATTAGAGATATGAACTCTTATTTAACTGTAACAGATAGGCCTGTGTGCACAAGGTAAATGTAGCCAAAGATTACTCAGGCAAAAATAAACCAGAAAATTACATTATTGAGCTTTCATTTGAAGAAAAAAAAAGGTCCCAAAGATATGTACTATAAAGTATGCATCAACAAGCTCTCCTGATTATCACCATTCATTTCCCTTAAGGCCCTTGAAGTACTCTATCTCCATAGTGACGAACATTGGAAGTCCTTTACTACATCACTCATTTGATGATATTATTTATCTTTGTTCATTTCTCTTTTCAGCTCCCTACAAAACTGTTATGTGTTCCTGATAAACAAAAAAAATAAAACAGCTTCCTCTGAAGTGGAAAGGGATGGGTATACTGAGGGGGATGGACCACATAAATCGTAAATGTGTACTGATTAGAAAACATGTGTCAAATCATATTCTCATTTCAGATAAAATTGTAAAAGCTACCTTTTAAGGTGGCGTAATGGGAACAGATTTGATCTCCTGCGCAAAGGTAAATAGCAAATGTGGTTTCACAGGCATGTTGGGCATAATCAAACGCTTAAGAAAGCTCATTTAACATTGCTTTAATTTGAATAAATGGCATCAAATGTGAATATTAATTCAAAGCTTGACTGAATATTTTCTAGTGACTTATTCCACAAAGGCGTGAAAATGCAATAAAAACAGCTGTGATTTTGGCATGGGTTCTGGTATGGTGCTAAAACAAGCTAACAAACAAATGGATACACAAACAAACATGTGAGCAGTGAGCAGCTCCCAGAAGCAGTACGTGTTAGAGGGTACATACCTACCATAATGCCCATAACTGATTATGACATCAGCAGTCTGTCTGACCGGTGTGCTGAAGGTGACCCAGTGGTGACTATGGTCTGAGGGGGTAAGAGAAAGCACCCCTCCAGCTCAGTCTGCCCCGTCAACCCCCCTACCCAACCCCCTGCTCCCCTGGGCAGTGCTTGAGGAGCAACGCTTCCCCTCTCCCTCCCCCAGACCAGCCATACCAGCCAGAGGCCATAGGAGACCTGTTTTATCTTCTCTGTTCATTATGATGGAGATCTATGGGCTTGTTTTGCTTTGTATTTTTGATGTTATGATTAAATATTGTCTATCTGCACAATTGATACCTAAGGCCAAAGGGAAGTCACTTTGGCCACACATAATTTGTAAGCCGTCTCTTTCCCTGAGGACAGATTTGTTCACAGAGAGAGAGAGATCTGTTGTGTATTATCCTGCTGTAACGTAGCCGGGCCTTTCGTCTCTCCTTAACGTCATGCCTTCACATTCCTAGTGCTCTAGTGGAGGTTTACATATTTCTTTCCTCCAGGGGAAAACAGGGGAAACACATATTTGAGTGTTAATGGTAATCTTCTCAGAGGGGATAGTTGACATCTTTGCAAAAGGACTAGGGAAAAAAGTAGTACCTTCGAAGTCATCACATTTTTAACACTGATCACTCTTTAACCCCAAATAGTTTGAAAGAAGACTTTGATATGAAGTGTAAAGCTACGCTGCTTGATCTGCCTGCATGATATCACATTTAAGTGACAGCAAAACCATAACACGACTTTCAAATAAGCCACTTTAAATTAAAGCTGACAGCTTAAAACAAACACAGGCAACTGCTTAATTAGTAAATGAAAGAAGAGAGTGTGAATGGGCTTAGCTGGCTCACGTTAAACCTTCCAGAGAGGACTTCAGGGAACAGGAATTATTTGGTTTAAACTATTACTGAGCTCCGCAACACATGGATATGTATTTTGAAAAATCTCCTTCCTGCTTTTTGAAAATCGTTTTTTCTTTTTTAATCTAAAAGAAAAAACAAACGTGAAAGGAAACCAAAAACTGCCAAATCATTGAGATGTTAGAGATCTGCTTCTAATGATCCTATTTCAGTAGTATCATTATTAAAAGCCACACCATGAAAGCAGCACATCCTCATTCACTATTCATACAAACACATAATTGTCATATCATTGCTATATGTTTGGCCGCAGGATTGTCTCTTCTAAGCTCTTATTACAAATGCAGTGCAGCTAAGCGTACGCTGCATTATGTGTATGCACACATATCATGAGAGTTTCATCCATGAATTAGCCTTTGCTTTCAGACAGGATTTGGAGGACGGGCCTGTTTTTTAGTGGGGTGTTCCTCTCCATATGAAGTTAGCCCCTGGTCATCACAACATAATATATTGAGCATATTATGGATATGATTCCTGGGCCTAGACGCACTGCAGAGGGATCATTGCTTGGAGGCTTTGCAGCAGATCCACACTTCCCACCATAAAGCAATAATGCACATCCCATTAACTCTTCGCTCTCCTGACTAAAACGAAGGAAAATGTCTAGATAGGAGGAATAAGGAATATAGACCATGACACTTTTGTCTTCTCCTTTTGGTGTGGGTGGGCATTAAAATAATTGTTTTGGTATTTACATTTTAGTCATTTAGCAGACGCTCTTATCCAGAGCGACTTAAAGTTAGTGAGTGCATACATTTTTCATACTGGCCCCCGTGGGAATCGAACCAACAACCCTGGCGTTGCAAGCGCCATGCTCTACCAACTGAGCTACACGGTATTGAGTGTCAAGAGATAAAATCACATTCAGATGAACAATTATAAATATGGCATCATTATGAATACAGAGGTCCAATTGTTTAAGTGAGTGATAATCTTTATAGAATACATACAGAGATCTGTAAATATGTATACTGCTGTACCATTGCGCTTAGCCTAATTTGTTATGGTAGGGAAAAGGTCAATCTCATAGTAACAATCCCATTTAGAAAAGTCTGGTGAATAAATCTTCACTCACAAACTTCAATTAATGATGCACTTCAATTAATGATGAAGTTTAACGTAGATTTTGAATTTCAAAGGACTGGGATACTGCGGCAGAGCACATTTGTAGTGATACTGAATACCCAATGGAATAGAATGAAAGTGCTGAATGAGACGTGTTAGTTCACATGGAATTACTGTTTTCTACATTCTGTCCTAATTTTGAATGCATGAAATGTTCTCTTCTTGGGTGAAGACAAGCTTCTGAGAGACCATTTCCAGTGGAACTATGCAAAAGTCTCAACTAGAACTTGTATAACTGGCATACAGAATATTAGACTATTAAAATAGTTAGAAATAAATAAAATACCTTCTCATCTTCCTCCTCATCATCGGTCATGTTCATGTTCGCCTACAAGAGAAAGGAGAGGGGTAGAGTGTGTTTTCAAATGGACAGGGACACGCGGGCACTGGAGCATTTTTAACAA